TGGACTTCGTTCACAACTTTTGCCTCTCGACAAATTAAAAGACTTTGCCTTTTTTAGACATATCATGTACATCTAGCATCGGCCTAGAAAACTACGTGACATATTCTCGGATGTTCCTAACATGTCTTAAAAAATCATATGAAATGTAGAGTAGAACAATGCATGTTATTGAGTCAACTTATATGTTTTGAAAAGTTTTGGACCAAAAGAATAAATCTAAACGATGCCCAAATCTCCTTCCTTGAAACTCCACAAGGAGCTAAGGTGGAAGCTAAGGTCGGAGGTATGCGCCATATAATTCCATGACATGCAGTATTTTTGTACGGTTCGATTTAGATCATGTTCTTTCTCCAACTAAACAAATTTACAATATGTGTGCTAATTTAATTTGTAGGACAAATTATTATAAATTTTGTGTTTAATGATGGAATAAGGAATAATATTTTTTTTAATTTAATAATACTTAGAGCCATATGATTCGAATGTCTCAAAATGGTAAAAATAGATAATAATAATAAATCATAAATCATTATAAAATAGGTAAAATATTTTAATTTTATTCATATATATAAGTGCCATAACCGGGATGAATAAGATGAAGTGGCTATCAATATTTAAAACCAAATGACCAAAAAACCCTTGTACTCCAACAAGGCATTCGGATATAAAAGGGAGGTGTGGTACTGCAAAATTCTTCATCCCATCTACTTCCCATCTCTTTTAAGAAATTTAGCCTTTTGAGATACAAATATTTGTATCTCAATGAACCCAAATTCAGGTGACTACTTCATTATATTTTTCCTTTATTTTATTTATTTTTTTTCCAAGTAAAGTGAATTTATTAAAATGGCATTGCATCGTGTTACTAGGAATGGAGGCGAATACGACGGTAGCCATAAACTGTCCGTCAGAGATGAAAGCAACGTCAAATGGAGTATTTCAAGGCGACAATCCGCTTGATTTCGCTCTTCCTTTGGCGATTCTTCAAATATGTTTGGTGGTCATTCTCACTCGTGTTCTTGGTTTGCTTTTCCGACCACTCAGACAACCTCGTGTCGTTGCAGAGATCGTTGTAAGTTTAATGAAATTTTAATGGTAATATATAAGGAGATATATAGTTAAGTAAGGTTGGAATTCGATGCCACTAAAATTCTCGAGCTATTCAAAATATATATATATATATATAAATTGTTGCATGTGTCTAATAATAAATGAAAAATATTAAACAATTTGTGGTATGCTAAGAAATGATATGCGTTTATTATGGTTGACGTTAGGGCGGAATATTGCTGGGACCATCAGCGGTGGGTCGGAGCCATGAATTTCTACACGCAGTGTTCCCAGAGAGAAGCCTAACAATGTTGGACACGTTGGCCAATCTGGGTCTGCTCTTCTTCTTATTTCTAGTTGGACTCGAGCTGGATCCCAAGTCCCTCCGCCATACCGGAAAGGCCGCCATGGGCATCGCCGTCGCCGGAATCACCGTCCCCTTCCTCCTCGGCATCGGCACCTCCTATGTCCTCCGTTCCACCATCTCCCAAGGCGTCCATGCCCCTCCCTTCCTTATATTCATGGGCGTAGCTCTCTCCATCACCGCCTTCCCTGTCCTGGCCCGTATTCTGGCCGAGCTCAAGCTTTTAACCACTAACGTCGGCCGAATGGCCATGTCCGCCGCCGCTGTCAACGATGTCGCCGCCTGGATCTTCCTCGCTCTCGCCATCGCCCTCTCCGGTACTGGCCGCTCCCCTCTCGTCTCCCTCTGGGTCTTCCTCTTTGGGTTTGCTTTTGTCCTGTTCTGCTTCTTCACTCTGCCGCCCATTTTCCGCTGGATGTCCTGTCGCTGCTCCGACGGCGAACCCATCAGCGAACTCTATATTTGCGCCACCTTATCCATCGTCCTCGCCGCCGGATTCTTCACCGATTTAATCGGAATACACGCCCTCTTTGGCGCCTTCGTTGTCGGCGTTCTTGTACCAAAAGAAGGCCCACTAGCCGGCGCTCTCGTCGACAAAGTCGAAGGTCTGGTCTCCGGTCTCTTCCTCCCTCTTTATTTCGTTTCTAGCGGATTGAAAACCAACATCGCCACCATCAAAGGCGTCCAATCGTGGGGTCTCCTCGTTCTCGTCGTTTTCACCGCTTGTTTCGGGAAAGTCCTGGGCACCATCGCCGTCGCACTCTTCTACAAAATGCCATTCCAAGAATCAATCGCTTTAGGATTCTTGATGAACACGAAAGGGCTCGTGGAATTAATCGTCCTCAACATCGGGAAAGACAGAAAAGTTCTGAACGATCAAACTTTTGCAATTCTCGTTCTAATGGCTATCATCACAACCTTCATCACAACCCCAATCGTGATGGCGGCTTACAAACCGGCAAAGAGAAAAAGCAAATCTGAATACATAAACAGAACAATTGAGCGTGAGGATCCCAATTCAGAGCTGCGGATTTTGGCTTGTTTTCACTCTGTTACCAACATTCCTTCGGTTTTAAACTTGATTGAGGCGTCTCGTGGGGCGGAAGGAAAAGAATGGGTTGGGCGCCGGGTTTGCGTTTATGCTATGCATTTGATGGAGCTGACGGAGAGGTCGTCGGCCATTTTTATGGTCCACCGAGCTCGGAAGAATCAGCTTCCGTTCTGGAATAAAGGGGGGAAGGCCGATTCGGATCAAATCGTGGTGGCTTTTGAGGATTTTGAGCAGCTTAGTCGGGTGTCTATACGTCCAATGACGGCCATATCTCCACTATCTAGCATTCATGAGGATGTCTGCAACAGCGCCGAGCGGAAACGAGCAGCCATTATCATCCTCCCATTCCACAAACACCAAAGGTTAGTGTTCTTATTTCATTCATATATACAGCAAATGATGCAATAGAGCCTTCCTAGTTCTGAATAACCTCTCCTTAATTGAGACATGGCATAACTCTAATATCACATTAGAAACCACTATTCTTCATAATAGTATGATATCGTCTCAAATATAAGTTCTCATGATTTTGTTTTTAGTTTGTCCAAGAAGTCTCGTACCAATCTAGATATGTTCATTAACTTATAAATCTACAATCATTCCCTTAATTAGCTAACATGGGACTCTCTCCCAACAATCGTCAATATTATTGACCTTATTGATGATAAATTGCAGGTTTGATGGATGTTTGGAGACAACACGAGGCAATTTCCAATGGGTCAATCAAAAAGTTCTCGAACAACCACCTTGCTCTGTTGGGATCTTGGTCGACCGAGGATTTGGAGGTGGGTCTCACATCAGCGCTAGCAACGTCTCTTCCACCATAACCATCTTCTTCTTCGGCGGCCGTGATGACCGTGAAGCACTAGCCTACGGTCGGAGAATGGCCGAACATCCCGGAATAATGCTAAACGTTATCCGCTTCCTTCCAAGCCCCGACATGGTGGTAGAATCCATTGTGGTTGACATTAACAAATACGACACAAATGATGTTTCAGCAGGCATAGATGAGAGGGTACTGTCGGAGTTGAAGAAAACAGAGGAGAAGTCGATTAAATATGAAGAGAGGGTTGTGAGCAATAGCTGCGACGCCATTGATGTAATGAGGGAGTTTGGTAGATGCCATTTGATATTGGTGGGTCGAATGCCAGAAGGGCGAGTAGTGGAGAGCTTTCATTTGAAGAGTGTGGAATGTCCTGAGTTGGGGCCAATTGGGAGCTTGTTCACATCGCCAGAGCTCCTCACATCAGCATCCCTGTTGGTGATTCAACAGTTTCGTGGTCCCTTGTCTTCTTTTTCCACATCTGCAATGGTTTTGCCTGAGGAGGTTAAGGAGTAAACGTGTCGATACATACTCATTTTCTTCATTGTCTGTCGTATCATCATCATTTGAAAATGATATGAGGTCGACGAATGTTGAAGAACTATTTATGAAGACAAGATTATAGTGTGATCGAAAGGAGTAGATACTCCGATCATATTGAATTTTTTTTTTTTTTGAAAAGGAGGGAGGAGGAATTAGGATCTTCTAAGCGATGTGCTTCTATAAAACAAAATGATTTCTCGAGGGATGCATAGTGTTATGATCATGCTTGTCCAAGTCGTGTTGTCTAAATGTCAAACATCCTGATCATGTTGTCCAAGATGTATTGTCCATTGCTGCATACCCATTCCAAACTCCTTCTACATGCTTTCATTTTAGATGGGGTTTTACTATTTCATGTTGTGTCATCTATAGATGTATGACTGTTCACCAAAATTATGTCTATACTTGTTAGGGCTAAAATGCCCATGTAATATATAGGGATATTATTAGTTGTCACTTCTTCATACATAGGTTATATACTATCAAAGTCGTCATTGTTACCTAATCGCTTTTAGCTTATAATATTCCTTTATTTCAAATTATTTTCAACATATTTTCTCGCTCACGTTCTCCAAAACATTTTTCTTAAACATGACTCAAGACTCGAGCATACGTTATTCGCAAAGTACGAATTTCTCACAGCTAACTTGTTTACTGGATCAGAATAAATGTTGCACAATCATCATCCAGCTACAGTAAGAGTGCAATTGTCACACATAACAATACATTATATTTGAACCCTTTTTTGATGTTGAATAAATAAACCATTTAGATTTGCTTTACCAAGATACTTTTTGAGAACAAGATTAACTTGGTCTAGTTATTATTTTAATTTGATTTAAAATTTAAAGTAATTAACTTTCATAGAAAACTTGTAAAAAAAAATCTAAAAAAAAAAAAAAATGTTCTCATTAAAAGGTTGATAGTTACAAACTTTTAAGGAATATTACAAATTGAAACATAAAATTTCCATAAATAACCTTGCAAATGTGGATGATAACTTTTTAGGATTATTTGTGATGATGCATATGAGTTAGATTGAATTGGATTGGGTTGAGAAATTTTTTTCTATAAACTCAAAATTTTAATTTGAATTGGTTGAATTAATAATTGGAGCCACTTGAATAGAAAATGATAGTACAATTTGACAGCCTAGTGTCATTGCTGAGATGGTCGTATGTTCTTTCGTCTCACTAACTTCTGTTATCATCTTCACATTCTTATGGATCCAAAGAATTGTGTTCTTTTTCAGTAAAACTTTTTGTTCTTTTGCAAGGGAGGAATCTTGCTGGGTCCATCGGCGCTTGGCCGAAACTTTAACTACTTACACACAATCTTCCCGGCGAAGAGCCTCACCGTATTGGATACGTTGGCCAACTTGGGTCTTCTCTTCTTCCTCTTTCTCGTCGGCTTGGGGTTGGACCCCAAATCGCTCCGCCGTACCGGAAAACGAGCAATGTGCATTGCCTTCGCTGGAATTACCCTTCCGTTCATCATCGGCATTGGCACCTCTATAATTCTCCGATCAACCATTTCCAAAGGTGTCAATGAAGCCGCTTTTCTTGTCTTCATGGGTGTCGCTCTTTCAATCACTGCATTTCCCGTTCTGGCGAGAATTTTGGCTGAGCTCAAGCTTTTGACCACTGACGTCGGTCGCATGGCCATGTCTGCTGCCGCTGTCAATGACGTGGCGGCGTGGATTCTTCTAGCGTTGGCAATTGCACTCTCCGGCACTGGCAACTCCCCTCTTGTTTCCCTTTGGGTTTTCTTGTTTGGCTCTGGTTTTGTCCTGTTTTGTATCTTTTTCTTTCCGCCGGTGTTCCGGTGGATGTCGCAACAGTGCTCTGAGGGTGAGCCGGTGAAGGAACTGTACATTTGTGCCACTTTGTCGATTGTTTTGGCTGCTGGGTTCGTCACAGATTTGATCGGAATCCATGCCCTATTCGGAGCTTTCATCATAGGCGTACTGGTTCCTAAAGAAGGCCCATTCGCCGGAGCTCTGGTTGAGAAAGTTGAAGATCTCGTCTCTGGTCTTTTTCTTCCACTATACTTCGTTTCAAGCGGATTAAAAACAAACGTGGCAACAATTAAAGGAGCTCAATCATGGGGTCTTCTTGTTTTAGTCATTTTCAACGCCTGTTTTGGTAAAATCGTCGGAACTGTTTCCATTGCCATGTTCTGCAAAGTTCCATTAAAAGAATCATTGGTTTTGGGGTTTTTGATGAACACGAAAGGCCTACCCGAATTAATCGTTTTAAACATCGGCAAAGATAGAAAGGTTTTGAACGATCAGACATTTTCGATTATGCTGCAGCAGTGAACGACGTAGCTGCATGGATTTTCCTTGCTCTTTCCATTGCATTATCTGGTTCCAATAAATCTCCCCTAACTGCAGTTTGGGTTCTTTTATCTGCTGCACCTTTTTTGTTGGGTACGTGAGATGTGTGGAGGATTACTGGGAGTGAGCCCCTGCTTGATTAATTTAGTGGAAAATCATGAGTTTATAAAATTGAGGAATACTATCTGTATTGGTATGAGGTCTTTTGGGAAGCCCAAAGCAAACCCATGAGAGCTTATGCTCAAAGTGAACAATATCATACTATTTTGTGGAGAGTCGTGATTTCTAACATGATATCAGAGTCATGCCCTAAACTTAACCATGTCAATAGAACCTCAAATATTGAACAAAGAATTGTGAGTCTCGAAGGTGTAGTAAAAACGTGACTAAAGTGTCGAACAAAGGGTGTACTTTGTTCGAGAGCTCCATAAGCCTCAGGGGAGGGTTATAGTGTACTTTGTTAAGGGGAGGATTGTTGAGGATTTGGGAGTGAGTCCCACGTTGGTTAATTTAGTGGAAGACCAGACTATGAGTTTATAACTGAGGAATACTATTTTCATTGGTATGAGACATTTTGGGAAGCCCAAAAACTCATGAGAGATTATGGTCAAAGTGAACAAAGTATGAGGCCTATCTCCATTGGTATGAGGCCTGTTGGGGAAGCCCAAAAAGCCACGAGAGGAACAATATGAGAGCTTATGTTTCCTACCTCATAAAAATTTTGGAGAGATTACAAATTAAACCCTAAACATTTTTTTTAATTGATATCAAATATATTAATAAAGCTATAACAAACAGTTGGTGGGTTTTGTTCACCCACCAATTTGGTGCATATAAAATAAGATAAAGTGAGCAACTTCCCCATTATTACATTATTTCTTGTTAATAATTTGCTTTGAATTTCATTTTCACCCTTTTCTTTCTTTATCTTTCTATTTTTTAATTCTTTGAAAAGACTTATGAACCTCACCACTTTAGGAGTGGTTCAACATCTTTCCTTTTAAACTTAATTTATTAAATCAATTTTCAACCCAAATAAATAATTCAATTTATAATTCATAACAGTCAAACTAATCAAAATTAGGCTTTGCTAATATAAAATTATACCTAAGCACAATTAATGAAGTCAACATATTACCTCTCTGCTCCTCCCCCTATATAACACCCACCGGAATCCGCTCCATTTTAAAAAACTGTGCCCTACATCTTCGAACACAATGTCTCGCAAATCTCCGATTACCAATCTTCTCTTCTTCCTCCTCATCTTCTTATTCGCATTCTCCGCCGCTGGAAAATCCCGCTCCCACCACCCTCGCCGCCCCTGCCGCCACCTGGTGTTTTACTTCCACGACATTATCTACAACGGCGAAAACGCGGAGAACGCCACCTCCGCCATTGTCGGAGCACCGGCGTGGGGAAACACCACGATTCTGGCCGGACAGAACCACTTCGGCGACATGGTGGTGTTTGACGATCCAATCACGATGGACAACAACCTGCACTCGCCGGCGGTGGGGCGCGCGCAGGGGTTCTACATTTACGATAGGAAGGAGATCTTCACGGCGTGGCTTGGATTCTCGTTTGTGTTCAACTCGACGGAGCATAGAGGGAGCCTGAACTTCGCGGGCGCGGATCCGCTGATGAACAAGACGAGGGATGTGTCGGTGATCGGCGGGACGGGGGATTTCTTCATGGCGAGAGGGATTGCGACTCTGTCCACGGATTCGTTTGAAGGAGAGGTTTATTTTAGGCTTAGGGCGGATATTAATCTGTACGAATGCTGGTGATGCTGATTTTTTAAGAACCGTCCATTTGGAGTTTCTGTTTTGTCGTTTTTGTTGTGTCATGTTTTCGAAAAAAAGAAAATAATAATAATAAGTTGTTTTTTAAATTAGTATAGGACGGTGTTGATAAAATAAGTTAATTGACCCATGTGCCACTCTCCTCGGCTACTAAAATGAACTCAGCCAACTCTAGAACAAGTCGAGTAGGAACCAATATGCGCAAACCTGCAACAAAATTGAGACAAGATTTTCGCAACTTTTCCTAGTATAAGAACTTGTGGTTGTTAGATGAAAGTGTCCACGTTAATTTAGGAAATGATCATGAGTTTATAATCTAAGAATACACTCTCCTCTCCATTGGTACGAGGTCTTTTGAAAAGTCCAAAGCAAAATCACGTATTCGTTTAAAAGTGGTGTCTCAAAGAGATAATTTGATTGAAATCTTATTAATTTCATACCCAAAAATAATTAGAATTTGAAAATAAAAAATGGTAGAGAATAATTATTTGGATGGCGGGGCCTTGCCGCCTTGGTGTATAAACAGTACCCTGTACGACAGCTGACTCGACGACCGATAAAACGAAGCCCATTAACGTCATTTCACTTCTCATCCATCACCTCAAAGTCTCTCCATTCCGGTAGAGATTTCGTCAATTCCTCGCCTCTCGGATGCTCCAATCTGACTCCCATTTGACTCCATACGAAATGGGCAACTGCAGTGGTCTGCCGGCCCGCCAAATCTTCGCCGGCAACCCCCTCGATCAGTCCGACCACCGCCCTCCCTCAAACGGCGTCGTCAAAGTCCTCCCACCCGATTCCGACCCTTCTCCGCCTCCACCCCTTCCCAAACAAATTTCGTCATCATCTGCGCCGCCCGCCGTTGGCCGGGTTCTGGGTCGGTCCTTTTCCGACGTCCGGTCGTTTTACTCCTTTGGCCGCGAGCTGGGTCGCGGCCAATTTGGTGTTACTTACTTAGTCACACACAAGGAAACGAAGCAGGAGTTTGCCTGCAAATCAATCGCCACTAGAAAATTGATCAGTCAAGATGATGTTGAAGATATCCGCCGGGAGGTTCAGATTATGCACCATCTCACCGGGCACCCCCACATTGTTGAACTGAAAGAAGTGTACGAAGACCGCCATTATGTCAATTTGATTATGGAGCTCTGCGCCGGCGGTGAATTGTTCGATCGTATTATTGCTAAGGGACACTACTCTGAATCCACTGCGGCCTCGCTTTGCCGGCAGATTGTGACGGTCGTTCATAATTGTCACTCCATGGGAGTTATGCATAGGGACTTGAAACCGGAGAACTTCTTGTTTTTGAGTACGGATGAGAATTCGCCTCTCAAGGCTACGGATTTTGGGCTTTCTGTGTTCTTCAAACCAGGTCTGTGTGAATCCTTTTGCTCTGTTTTTTTTTCTTTTCTTTTTTATCCTTTTTTCTCTCAAGTCAGCTTCCTGAGTGTGTTAATTGGATATTTTAAGCTGCTTTAACTGTTTAGGGTGGGGAGCTATTCAATTGGTGAGTTGGACATGTTGAAAATCATTGGCGGGGATTTGTTTATGACAATTTTGCTTGTTAGGATACAGGTGATGTTTTTAAAGATCTAGTTGGAAGTGCATACTATGTAGCTCCAGAAGTTCTTCGTCGAAGTTATGGACACGAGGCTGATAGTTGGAGTGCTGGAGTTATACTATACATTCTACTCAGTGGAGTTCCTCCTTTCTGGGCAGGTTCCTCTCTATGTCTCTTTATCAAGTCTCAACGTCAATTCATTTTTTGTGATTATGTCATTTGAACAAAGATTTGGTTTCTCTATCTAATCCTGATAGTACAATATGTAATATAACATGCTATTGGTCATTTCCTTTGTAGTTAATCAGTGTTTATTGTAGGACATTGCTTAAAATTTATTTCCTTATTTGTAAATGGGTGTTCCTTCTATTTAAGAACCCATTTCTTCTCCTAAAATGTTATCTCTTATGTTGAGAAATCCTAAAAAACCAACCTTAAACCTAGCGGCTGCTGCCGACGGTTGTTGTTTGCTGCCTCCAGCCGTCTGCTTTTACCCAATGCCACCCTCAGACAAGTTTGTGTCTCCTTGGGCTCCATGAAATCACGGCCTTCATTCACAGATTCACATTCTTCGTTCTAGTTTTTTACACAGATTTGTGGGGGTGTCTGCATATGAGCTTGTTGTTGTCTTTGTTGCTGACCACCACCATTGCTGCCTTCTGGTTCATGCTCCTTTGTTGGAGGGAATCTAGTTACCTTGCAAAGCAAATAGCAAGGTATAGTGGTTAGAAGTAGTGTTGAAGTTGAATTTAGGGACTTAGTCCATACGATTTGTGAGAGTATATGGATAAAGTGATATTGGAAGAACTGAAATTCTCTCGGATGATGCCTATGTGTAATTATTATGACAACGAGGCAGCGATTTCCATTGCCCACAATCAAATCCTTCATGATAGAACAAATTATATTGAGGTTGATGAACATTTCATAAAGAAGAAAAATGACGTGGGAGTAATATGCATTTTCTGCCCTCCTACGACAGAGCAAATTGTTTATGTGTTAACAAAGAGGCATCTCATGATTAACAAGTTGGAAATGATATCTTCAAACGGGGGAGTATTGGTTATTTCCTTTTTAGTTAATCAGTATTTATTTTCTTTATTATATTATATTGCTGGAAATTTATCTGTTTTCATTTGTAAATAAGTTTCTCTTGTATTTAAGAACTCTTTTCTTCTTGAAATAACTCGTGGTTTTAGATCCTCATTTCTTTTTTTAAATTCTTTTCATGTTCAGAGAATGATCAAGGTATTTTTGATGCTATTCTTCGGGGACATATTGATTTCTCATCGGATCCCTGGCCTTCCATATCCAGTGGTGCCAAAGATCTGATTCGAAAGCTGTTACAGTCTGATCCTAAAGAGCGATTATCCCCCTTTGAAGCTCTAAGTAAGTTTCCATCTCCAAGACAGATCATGCTAACAGAAATGATTACACATTCTATGATGAAAATTATCTACCAGAAATTTTAGCCACATTGCCCCTGCAAATAAAACTGAAGTAATGATAATGTAGTTGCAGTTTGGTGAGGCAATGAATAATGTATGCTTAAATAATCACAGGAATTTTTCATTAATGTTCTTTTATACTGCCCGTCGACTGATATTCTTATGTTATAACGTGCAGATCATCCATGGATGAAAGAAGATGGGGAAGCACCTGACAAGCCTCTTGATATTGCTGTTTTGACTAGAATGAAACAGTTCAGAGCAATGAACAAACTCAAGAAAGTAGCTCTAAAGGTGGGAGAATCTCCATCATAACATCACTTAAAAAGTGTCTAATTTTCCTTCGAACAAATTTTATGAGAAAAACTGATGAAGGTGGAGGTCTCCATAACCAGAGCTGAAAAGTTAATTAAAACAAAGTGTTTGTACTTGCTTTAAGTACATATCTTAAAATGTTAATTCATTTTCTGTAGGTGATTGCTGAAAATCTTTCAGAAGAAGAAATTGTGGGATTAAAGGAGATGTTCAAGTCAATGGATACCGATAATAGTGGAACTATCACTTTCGAGGAGTTGAAGGCTGGTCTTCCGAAACTGGGTACAAAGCTTTCCGAGACTGAAGTTAGGCAGCTGATGGAAGCAGTAATTTTACTTTCTTCCGCTTTGTTATGCCTTTCTTCTCTCTATTTGTATTGAACTTACAGAAAACATTTTCTGTCACTTCATCAATGACAAAACTATTTGTGCTTTTCAGGCTGATGTGGATGGAAATGGAACAATCGACTACATCGAGTTTATTACAGCTACGATGCACATGAACAGAGTCGATAGAGAGGATCACTTATTCAAAGCTTTTGAGTACTTCGACGAAGACAAAAGCGGGTAATCTTTGCTGTTTTATTTTAGTCTATGGTTTTGGCTTTGGACTTAATCCGCTGTTCTGATACATATACCGTAGGTATATCACAATGGAGGAGTTGGAGTCTGCCCTCAAGAAGTACAATATGGGTGATGAAAAAACAATAAAGGAGATTATCGCAGAAGTTGACACGGATAATGTACAATTCTGTTCTTCCTTTTAGTTACTTCCTCAAGTGCATCGGTTTTCGAGTATCAATTTCTCTCTAGCAAAGTCATACCAACATAAATAGGTGTATAAAATGTGAAGAAAATTGTGTATGTGACTTTGGTAGTTTTACTTTACATCATTTTCCATCAGCATTTAGGTACAACCTATAGAACAGATTCTGTTCAAGTAAGGTTATAATTTTCCATCAGCATTTCCTTAATTGCTCAATTCAGTTAATGCAACTTCTTCACATGAGGGTAAGCTCAATCTTTCTCTAGAACAGCATGTACGAAGACTCCATAGAAGACGAAAATGGTGCTAGAAACTTGTTTCATATCACAGTCTTGTTCCAAACAACATCAAAATTCTGTATGATGTTTTGTTCTCTTGCTAATGAAAATTTTCTGGTTGATTTACACCAGGATGGACGAATAAACTACGACGAATTCGTTGAAATGATGAGGAAAGGAAACCCGGAGTTGACAACAACCAGACGACAAAAATGAAGCTGAGTTTCTTCATTCTTTTGGCTGTGTTGTCTGTTCCATTAGGGTTGAAGTTTTGTTTACAGGAAACTTCAACTATTCTGAGCCATTTTGTGTGTGTTATTCTGAGATTTGAGTGTATAAGAATATTAATATGCTTGGGTAGATAAGTCTCCTAGGAATGTAATGTTCTTTAGAATGAAAATGTAATGTCAGTCTGTAAATCCACCAAATGATTAGAGAGGAAGAGAAAAATGTACCCATCTTTAGTTTTGTTTTATCAGTGAGCTTGAAAAAGGCCACACTGTTATTGTTGTTGAAAAATAAAGAAACTGTTCTTGTGCTCTGATCTGATTGCTTTCATATAAACCTTTCAAAGCTATTATAAGAAAATTTTAAAAAACAGAGATTGACAATACTGCAACCCTTGAAGGGTGTGACAGACAATCCAAAATTGTGGATTTTATTTTAGTCCATCCGCAGGTTCTAATTTATCTACACCGTCCTTCCATGGCTCGCATTTGGGAGCAAACTTTGAGAGAGGGAGACAGGAAAAACAGGAAAGGTGAGCAGGGCGCGTGTGAGTGTGACTCCGAAAAAAAGGTAAAACCGGGTACCCGATTCAGACACAGTACCATGTAACCACCACAGAAAAAGGCTCGCAGTCCGAGGTATATGCCTTAAAAAACTGCAAACCCAGAAACACACCCACGAGACAAATCTCCTCCTCAGATCAGATCTGGTTCCGCCTAGAAGTACAAGGAGAAACAATCGGTGCGTCTGTTCCCATATTGTGGCGTTGGAAAAGGGTTGGTTTTGTTTTGGTTTGATAATGGAGCAGAAGGGTTTGTTGGTGTCGGCGTTGAGTGTCGGCGTGGGAGTGGGTGTGGGGCTGGGTTTGGCCACCGGACAGAGCATCACCAAATGGTCGTCCTGTAATTCGTCGTCCAACGTTATCACTGCTGATAAATTGGAACACGAAATCCTTAAACTCATTGTTGATGGTCGTGAAAGCAAAGTCACTTTTGATCAATTCCCTTACTATCTCAGGTACCCTTTTCTTTCCCTCTCTCTATTGCTCATTCTTATTCTCATATTGCATGCATGCACGCACGCACGCATGTCTATAAGGAATGTTAAACGATAAATTCAAAGAGAAAAATGATATGAAAATTTGAACATTTAACTTTATTATCACGCTTACTTCTTTGGAAAGAAATAAGTTGTATTATTGTTTGGTTGGAATTTTGCATTGTGATCACGACAGTGAACAGACACGAGTTGTATTGACAAGTGCTGCATATGTCCATTTGAAACATGCTGAAGTTTCTAAGTTTACTCGAAACCTCTCCCCTGCAAGTCGAGCCATCTTACTCTCCGGACCTACAGGTCTGATCTGATTTACCTTAATATTATTCAAACTTTTTCTATTCATTCAAAACTTGTCATCTTTGTGTGTATTTTGTTCCTTTCTTGAAGAACTTTACCAGCAAATGCTTGCAAAGGCATTGGCTCACTACTTCGAGGCCAAACTGTTGCTTTTAGATATAACTGCCTTTTCCCTAAAGGTGAAATTTCTGAATTCTCTCGTGCAAGTTTGGTGGGTTTGCTTGTCTTCTTCTTCTTCTTCTTCTTCTTTGGAATTATTCACTTGTTTGTGTTGGGTTCAGATTCAGAGCAAATATGGCACCACCGTTCAGGTATCTGTAAGGCTGTTCTAAACTTAAAAAGATGTGATCTTTCTTGATGTTTGTAAGTGCAATGAAATTTCTGATCCTTTTTTTGAATGATCATATTAGGGTTTTAGACGATCCACTTCAGAGTCAACATTGGAGAGATTGTCTGGCTTATTTGGATCCTTTTCAATCCTTCAACCCAGGGAACAACAAAAAATAGGTTGGTTTTTAGCTTAAAACTTTTAAACTATAATGATGGATGAAGTTCCTAATCATTGGATCCTTCAAATTTAGCTTGAAACATTATGATATGAATCATGTTTAGAGTTTTTTCTTTTGGAAATATTGTTTTTCTTCACGTTTTCGATCTTTGGCTAATCAACACGAGTTCGTGTTCATTGTGTTGCAGGTTCATTACGAAGGCAAAGTAGTGGTGTGGAACTTGCATCACGGTATGCTGCCTGACTTATTTAAGTCTCGATTCTGTCATTAAGAAAAGCATCGTTGAGATTAAATGAAAATATATACATATTTTGTTTGAATTTGCAGCGGAAAGGAAGGATCTCCCAGTCTCCCGAAACTTCGAAGAAACGCCTCTGCTGCTGCTAACATTAATAACCTTGCAACACAAGGCAATGTTGAGAAGCCAGGTCTGCCTGCCTTTCAAATCTTCATATGAATGATTGGTGAACATAAAATATTCAAACGAAGTGTCCGAGTACTTGTCTCATGATTTCTAAATTTCCTTCGATGAGTGAGATTGTTGTTTGAAGAAATGCACAGATAATCAGCAACCATAACTGTTTTTTTTTAGTGCATATCGATAAACTACTCATTGGTTGCTGAAGATGCTTTGTGATTCTTTTCGAGCTTGAAGCCAGACTCTGCTTTTGATTGTTCTTTTCACTGATTTCTTGACTTAGTTGAAGTTTAATTGTTTGTAGCTCCCCTTAAGCTCATGACCAGATGGCCTTTTGAGGAGAAACTTCTTATACAGTGTCTGTATAAGGTAATAATGAGTAGCATTCTTCATTGATTCAACTGAAATTTGTTAGAACTTTGGTCAGAACACAACTTTTATTTGTTTGCAGGTTCTTCTATATGTATCGAAAGCGAGTCCCATTGTTTTATATCTTCGTGACGTAGATAGGTTCTTATCCAAGTCAAATAGGGTATATAACTTGTTCCAGAAAATGCTACAAAAGCTGTCAGGCACCATTTTGGTTCTTGGTTCGCGTACTACCGATTCAAGCAACGATTATATCGAGGTGGATGATAGGCTCTCTGCTCTTTTTCCATACAATATCGAGATCAAGCCACCTGAAGATGAATCTCAGCATGTCAGTTGGAAGTCTCAATTGGAAGAGGATATGAAGAAGATCAAGGTTCAGGATAACAGAAACCATGTAATAGAAGTTCTTTCAGCGAACGATCTTGACTGTGATGATCTCGACTCGATCTGTGTTGCTGATACCATGGTTCTCAGCAACTACATAGAAGAGATTGTGGTGTCTGCAATTTCTTATCATCTAATGAACAACAAGGATCCTGAATACAGAAATGGAAAACTGATCATCTCGAGCAAGAGGTAAGATTAGTCCTTCGTGTTTGAGTTCCCATCGTCGGTTATAAGTACTCATAGGTTTCGTCCTGGAGCAGTTTGTCCCATGGATTGAACATATTCCAATCAGGAAAATCCAATGGCAAAAACACTGTACAGCTTGAAGCACAAACTGAAGCTTCAAAGGTTCATATTTTAGTTCTGACCATTTTATTTCAACCTTGAGAACGAGGGAACAAGATTATTGAGAGCTTTAATTTGTTATCTCTAGGAGTCGGGGGCGGTGAAACCCGAAGCAAAAGCTGGTGCCGCAGCTCCTGAAAACAAAAGTGAAGCAGCGCCTGCAGCCGTGGCGAAAACTGATGGAGAGGCTACTGTTCCAGCTGCAAAAGCCCCTGTAGGTCTCCACTTTTAATTGTTCTGTTGGCTCTGTGAATTGCATTACTGATGTTTGTATTATGATCAAATGTTACATAGGAAGTTCCACCAGACAATGAGTTCGAGAAACGCATTAGGCCAGAGGTTATACCAGCGAACGAGATTGGTGTTACATTTTCTGATATCGGCGCCATGGACGAGATAAAAGATTCTCTTCAGGAACTCGTAATGCTTCCCCTTCGAAGGCCAGATTTATTTCTCGGAGGGCTTTTGAAGCCTTGCAGAGGCATATTGTTGTTTGGACCTCCTGGAACTGGAAAGACTATGTTGGCCAAGGCCATAGCCAAAGAAGCCGGAGCAAGCTTCATTAATGTATCGATGTCAACCATAACTTCCAAATGGTTTGGAGAAGACGAGAAGAATGTTCGAGCTTTATTCACATTGGCAGCCAAAGTCTCTCCCACCATCATATTTGTAGATGAGGTTGATAGTATGCTCGGGCAGAGGACGAGAGTCGGTGAGCATGAGGCAATGAGAAAGATAAAGAATGAGTTCATGGCTCATTGGGATGGACTCTTGACAAATTCAGGGGAGCGTGTGCTGGTTCTTGCAGCAACAAATAGGCCATTTGACCTCGATGAAGCCATCATTCGACGGTTTGAGAGAAGGTACTTGTGGTTCTAAATGCACTCACAAACAACGCGTGATGCACCCTCTGCTATGCATATCTTATATGTTCAGATGTTTTTTTCGGATCAACCTTATAATTTTATGAACAGAATAATGGTGGGGTTACCAACACCTGAAAGTAGAGAAAATATATTGAGAGCTCTCTTGGCGAAGGAAAAGGTGGAAGAAGGACTAGACATGAAGGAGCTTGCAACAATGACAGAAGGATATAGTGGAAGTGATCTCAAGGTTTGCTATCATAACTTACTATTTACTTCTTAAAGGACCAAATCCTGTTACTAGTTTCTTCACTCAGAACTTCTTTTGAAACCAGAACTTCTGCATGACGGCTGCTTATCGACCCGTTCGGGAACTAATCCAGCAAGAAAGACTAAAGGATATGGTAAGTGTGAGGGAATCAGTAGCCATATTTGTATCCTTTTATTTGCTTTGTATTCAAGTTAGATACTTCATTTCCCTGTCCATCTCTTTTGCTTTGAAGGAGAAAAAACAAAGTGCTGCGGAGGCACAGAATGCAGTAGGGGATGCAGCAGGAGATGGCAAAGAAGAAAGAGTAATCACCCTCAGAGCACTAAACATGGAGGACTTCAAACAAGCAAAGAATCAGGTAACTACGAAACATCTCCTTGTTGTTCTACCACATTTATTTACCCCCAAGCCCACCGCTAGTAGAGGATATTATCTTCTTTGGGCTTTCCCTTTTGGGCTTCTCCTCGAAGTTTTTAAAATGCGTCTGCTAGGGGAGGTTTCCACACCCTTATAAAGAATGCTTCGTTCTCCTCCCTAACCAATGTGGGATCTTACAATTCACCCACATTCAGGGCCTAGTCGCACTCGTTCCTCTCTCCAATCGATGTAGGATCCCATATAATGTCTTCTCAACTCCACCAAAATTCATTTCTTTGCTTCCTCATCGTTTGATTGCCTTTTGTGTCACTCCCACAAGTCCATGACTCCCGAACAACAACAACTATAAGAATGTCATTGTACAAGTTGTTGGGTTGCAGGTTGCAGCCAGTTTTGCAGCAGAAGGAACAATGATGAGTGAATTGAAGCAATGGAATGAGCAATATGGGGAAGGAGGATCAAGAAAGAAGCAACAGTTGTCTTATTTCCTGTGAGGTTAGGCCATGAATGGCTGTGATTTGCTGCAACTCTTAGGGCTCTCTTATTTCCATGTGAGGAAGCTTTGTTTGTGTAAATATGAGGAAAGCTTTGATTTGTTCCATTTCTATGTGGCTCTGCTCTGGGAATTACATACCCAACTAGTTTCTTTCAATCGGCTGGTGCTGGAATCACAGCAAACCAAAAGCCTCTTTTTTGTTTTTTGTTTATGGTTCTGAGTTCCTTATCTTTTATATATTTTGTATCAAATTGTTTCTTTTACTTCCTTTCTTCCCCTCATTTCCACTATTTCAACGCTATATATTCTCGACTAAAACTCAAAAAAACCAATAAGTTCAAGGATAAAGAATAAATAGGTTCAAGTAATGGAATTGTGAGACTGATAGTGTTATACCGTCGTGTTTCTTGCTCCCTCTAAAAAACAGGAAAATACTTTTCAGAAATCGTCAGGCAATGAAATTGTGTTACTGAGTTGAAGAGGTGAACGAGTAAAAGTGTTTATTAATTCTCCAAATAAGACAAAAGGAGTTAAAAAAAAAAAGCATGCTAAAAAGTAAACCCTAAAACTATAGGCATATATTATAAAAGGAAATAGAAAATTAAATACAAACTTTAATTAAATGATAAATAAGAATTAGGGTGAGTTTAAGATCATCATTTTGTTAAGACTTTCAAATTTTAGAGGTTTTGGTAATGATACAATTTTTACTCTCTATTTAATCTTATTGAATTCCCCTAATAATACAAAATAATAATAAAATCTTTAAATTTGATTATAACAAAAAATAACCCAATAAAATAATTCTATCAATAATATTAAACAAAAAAAAAAAAAAGTTATATTTTTTTAATTAAATAAAAATTGTTATAATTATAATAATTAAATCAATTGAATTATCCCTTAATATATTATGGAATTAAAGGGGTTTTAAAAATAAAATAGAAGACATTTATTTAGACGTCAAAATCAGTTAAGGTTTAAATAGTTAGATTTATTATTAAGTGGGGATGCTTTTTCTTTTATTTTTCGGCTACTTTTATTTTTATTTTATTATTTTTTTTTTTTTTGCTTTCGGCCGAATTTAGTAATGTAATAAATAAATCTCTCTCAAACCCGTTTATATTGAATTCTTGACCATCTATAAACTTTATTAAATATTTAATCATTTTTTTAATTCCTAAATCTTCAATTCTGTTTTATTCAATATTTTATAACATTTAATATTTATTATAATAATCAATATATCTAATAGATAAATTAAAAAATTTTAAATTTATTACAAATTTTCTCAAATCTATGAATTGGATAATTCTTGTATATAATTTTGAGCATTAATAATAATAAATTAAAATTATCAAACATGAAGTTTGGAATGAAGCAATTATTAGGGCATTGAGAATAGAGCTCTCCTTTGACTCATTTCTTTTTCAAAATTCCCATTTTAAAGTGATTTTTATTCCCTTAATCTTCATTTTTTCCCATCATACCACCAATCAGATCAATCAACTAAAGTTGTATTAGGTGAATCTAAATGAATCATAATTCATAAGGTGAGAAAGAGCAAAATCGTGTCAATTATAACGATCATGCTTGTCTAAGACGTGTTGCTCATAGTCGCACAAACTAAGATTTTGATACCAACACCAAAATACTACACGAAGAGATATAAAATTTATGTACATAAAATCACTTACTAAAAAACAAACACTAACGATTGCTTGAATGAAAATTTCAAGTATTATTTATGGTTATTATCATTATTATTTAGGAGAGAAAAAAAAAAAGAATAATAGAAGAAGAGAAGGAAGGTCCGACAAAGGTGGATAAAGAAGAGACAGGTTTCCAACATTATGATTCCAATTAAGGAACCAAGCTAAGTAAAATTAAGATTATTTAACCCTAATCTTACTTGCTTTGTTGGTTTGTTTGAGGTTAATTTTGTCCTATCTTCATCGGGGGGAACAAATTGGAGCTAATTGTTCCATTAACTTTGATTACTTTTCTTATTAACCAATTTATCAATCTAATCTATATGCCTAAAACAACCCTAATACATCTTAATAATCATTCTAAAATGTAGAATTAAAGACCATTTTTAGGTCCTATTTTCATTACTATTTACTTTTTTCAAATTTAATTCTTTTCATGTCATTTCTCTTTTATCTTTCTTATTAGAATAATTAAAATTTTAGCTAATTTTTAAAAAAAAAAATGGAAAAAAAAAAAAAATATATATATATATATATATATATATATATATATATTCTTGGACATATTTTTAAAAATATATTGTAAAAAAATAGATAACAAATAAAAATAGTATTTATAGACTTATTTTTATATAGTTATTTAAGGAGATTTAATTTTTCAAATTATCCAGAAGTGGACGGGATAATATCGATGATAGGATCTATTTATGATTGGATATACTTTTTTATTTGATGTTTAATTTTCTCACAAAAATGAAGACTTTAAAATATTGACTTCTTGGGTAATTTTTTGTGATCAAAGGTGAATTGTTTTCATTAAAAAAAGTTAATTTTTATTTTAAATCCATAAAAAAAAAAAAAGCATAGAAAGTCCAAGCTCCTATCTTTTTCCAACAGCTTATGATACATTAATTTGGAGCATATGGTTTCTTCATTAACAAACATTAGGTTAAAAAAATAAATATTATAATGACATTTTCTATACTTTCACTAACAAATAAATTATTTATATAGAAATGAATGAGCGGAGGCCCATTTAAGATTGGGAGGGTATGGTCTCAGTACAATGGGGCCATATGGACCACAACCTATTACGTTACCTACATTGAATTATACTAAATGCAAATACACTCCATCGACCTCACTAGACTTCTCCAACAGCAAACGATAAAGAAAGACGATTTACATTTGGACCCAACTAAAGAGCTGTTTTAAAATAGGTATAGCTAAAATTCAACCAATTAACGCACATATATAAAATAAAACGAGTTGAAGTATAAAAAAAAATAAGACCACCAAATCGGAAAAGAGAAGAGAAACTTCAGCCAAAGTTCAAGTTTCCGAGCACATGCTTGAAGAAGGTAAACTCTTACTAACTCTCTTAAAGTTCTTACACGGGTGCAGGTGTTCTTTATTTTATATGTTACGTTCTTTTTTCTCAAATAAATTTTATCATTCATGTCACGTAAATGTCAGATGCATTTAAAAAAAAAGGAAAATATATTTATTTAGTTATTTATTTTTATTGGAGAAAGGTGGTGGAAAAGGAATAATTAAGTTATTTTGATAAGATTAAAAAAAGAAAAAAAGATACTTTATAGTTTTTGTTTTTTAGGACAGACTTTATGGTTAAAAAATATAAATAGAAATGGTGAGTTCTTTCAGATATCTTTGGTAAACGACAATGCAACTTTTTGTTATTCAAATACGCATCAATCCTATAATTATAAATTATTGTTGTTCTTCCGTTTTTTTTTTCTTCTCTATAATTATAAATTTTAAAATGTGTCTATAATAGAGGGTCTAGCTCTACTCTCCAACCAACGTGGGAATTCACCATCCACCCTCCTTATTGGTATACTATGCGTATGGTTCTGATATCATTTGTTACCCACGTGGTGGTTGTTGTAATGAGTTTGCCCTAATCCTACAAATATCCCACAAATATGGAAGGTTGGTTTTGGGCAGCTATTCTGATTCATGAAAATGGGGGGAGAAAGAGTAAATGTTGTTGAATTGTGTTTAAGAGAAAGAAGAAAAGCAGGGAAGTCCTTTACAATTAAAAAGGGAAGATGAGGGAAATGGGAAAACGGGAAAAGGTTGAAAAGGTTTTCGAATAATGCCTCTGCTTCTTCCTTCATTTACTCTGTCACTGTCTTTCTTATTGTGAACAGAGGAGGAGGACTGAGCTCACATGACTTCTCTGCAAATCACGCATTCAAATTCCACGACAAAAATAAATAAGTTCATTCAAAAACCCTTCGTCTCTTTCTCCTCCTCCTCCTCCTCCTCCTCTGCAATACAACCATTACCATGTCCTTCTTCTGAACCTCTGACTCACCTCTCCAAACAACCCACTTTTTCTCTCCCTATCTTTACTCCTCTTTTCCTTTTTGCCTCTCCCTTCTTCTTCTTCTTCTCAATACCTTAATCCCTCTTCCTCATTTCTCTATTCTGGCTCTCCCAACCATGGAAAGCTTCAGCTTGCTCAAATACTGGAGAGGAGGCGGCGGGGGTGGTGCGCCTGCTTCTGCCGCCGCTGATTTTGCTTTCAGCAGTACTTCATCTGCTGCCACCGCCACTGTTGTCACTGCCGTTGCGAGGAACCAGGCGGAGACTGATGAGGATGAGGATGACGATGATGGGCCGTTCTTTGATTTGGAGTTTGCTGTTCCTGAAGAGGATGAGGGTCGGAAACAGGGGGGAGATGGAGATGGCAGAAACTGTGATGATGGAAGTGAGGAGGAGAATGATGATGAAGAAGATGGGGACTCGGATGGTGAGAGGGAGTTCGATTTCACGCTCTCGTCTGGCTCTACCAATGAACATTCCGATGCTAATCTTACGTTCTCTCCTTCGGATGACTTGTTTTTTAAGGGAAAGCTTGTCCCCGTTGAAGCTTCCTCCAATGGCGGTTCTGAACCCAACTCCAAACCCCAGCTTCGTGTCACATTGTTGAAATCAGCCGCGAAGTTTAGGGTATTTATGTCGGGTCTCAAGAAATCGAAATCAAACGGGGAGAAGAAAACAGAGACGGATGGATCTGTTGGGGAACCGACTAAAGGTGAGACAACAGAACTGACGCCGGAAAACCCACCGGAGAAAAACGAGAACCAATCGGACAAAAGCCAGAATCAAACGAAAAGTAAGTTATTTGCCGTGAAACTGAAGGTAGAGGAAGTTCCGATCATGTCTCTGTTTACCAGAGACAACAGTTCAAGAGGCTCGGCTGGAACTACCACCACCACCAACAACAACAACAACAACAACAACAAAGCACAGAAACAAAGCTCCGACGAATTAACCTCGGAAGAAAATCGATTTTCAAAAGACGTAATAATGCAAAAGTACTTAAAGATGGTGAAGCCTCTGTACATTCGGGTTTCACGGAGATACGGCGAGAAGTTCAGGTTATCCGGACAGCTGATTTTGGGGGCAGCCAGAGCTAAGTCCGGTNCACTGCCTTCAATAGCGGCGCCACCCACTTCCCCGCCGGTGGAAAAGGCCGTGACAGACACAGAACTTGTGGAAGTACAAGCACAAACAACGACCATCAACACAAAGGGCCGGAACATGCCAGCCAAGCTAAGAGTGGTTTGCAAGCACTTGGGGAAAAGTCGGTCAGCATCCTCCGCTGTAGCAGCGGCTCCACCCGGGCAGGCGCCGTCGAGAAGGGACGATTCACTTCTGCAGCAACAAGACGGAATCCAGAGCGCCATTCTTCATTGCAAGAGATCCTTCAACGCCTCTAGAGGTAAAAAAAAAAAAAAAAAAAAAAAAAAAAAAAAAAAAAAACCATAAACNGTTCTGTTACTTGTACTAAAAGCTTCACCTTTTTTCTTCAACTTCATTAATGGATCAATTCTTTTGTGTCTCTTCTACACCAAAAACAACAGATTCAGAGTCTTCCCTGCTGTCTCTGCGTGAGAAAGCTTCAGATTTCACAGAAAAAGCCATTGTTTGAAGGTAAAGAAAAACAGCGATCGATCCATCAATCCATGAGAAAATTTCAATCCAAACAGGCGGGAAAATTTTGGTCAATATCCTTCACATTTCTCTCGCTTAATATATATATATATATATATATATATATATATATATGTAGTTTATATGTAAATGTTCATCTGTTGGGTTAGGAAGGATTGAATTTGTGGGTTCCTCTGGCCTTCTAAGTAAAAAGTTTGAATATTTTTCCAGTGAAGGGTAAAAAGTATTAGGAAGTGATGAATGATACATAGAAAGCAAGCAGAGTTGGGCGCCCCGTGTATGTATGTGATTTTCCTATGCCTTCCCCAATTGAAATTTTAAGAATCACTGAGCTGAAGTGGGCGGTTTGAAATTATGTTGCTTTTTTTGGCTTTTTAGATTGGTAAAGGATGTGGGTCTCAGTAGGCCAGCCATCTCTGTGGCAAAAATAGTGTCTTTAGTGGTCAGAGAACTGGGGAAAAGTGGGGTTTTACTTAAACAGAGAAAATGGGTTCTATCTTTCCTTCTTTTTTTCTTGTTTTATCCAATGAATTATGGTCTAAAAGTAAGAGTAAAGGGAAGCATGTGGGGGTTAGATAAATGACTTTATGGAGGTTTATTGAATGCCTGGATCAATTGAGGGTTTTTTTATTTTAATGTTTTAATATTAGGGGGGGTTTATAGATCCAATTTTGTGTTTTCAAGACACAGGGTTTTGATTTGGTCCCATGAAAATCACTGCCTCTGGGAATAATACTCTGTTCTTCCATGTCAAATTGTCATCATATTGTCCATATTATGGTTGGTTGTTTTCTTCAAGTCATAATCTTTTGTAAGTACATATAATCGTATTGTAGTCTTAATGGATGGTGGAGAATTGTCCAACTATGGTTTGGAGCTTTCTGTGTTAAGTTTTCTCCGCCCTTATTTTTTTAAACACCATATTTGTCCATCACTCCATCCTCTTCTATGTTCTACTCTATCCATTTTGTCCAAAGCTGAACTGTGCTTGAAGTTTTGGTTTTCTTAGTTAAATTATAAATTTAGTTTCGGTAGTTCGAGGCAGGGCAGATTAGAATTTAGTCCCAACAAGTGTAGAAGTTAGAATTTTTTTTCCAATAGTTGGATTAAACTTCATAGATAGTCACCAGCCCATTTGAGTTTTTGCATCATTGATTGGAAGGAGAGGAAGAAACTTCCAAAATCTCACGAGTAAAAATGATTCAGATTCTCCTTTTTTATTGCAGTAAAGGCCTAAAGGGGTGTGTTTTTGTAGAACACTTACCTCAGAATAAGGCTTTTTTTTCCAACCCTTTTTCCTATGTTTCTTTCTCTCTCATTGCTTTCACATTGGGAACATAATAACCAGCATGATGAGCATGATGAGGTAGAGGCAAAGGAGAGGCATCATGTGACAACCTTGTAGAATATGGACAAGCCCTATTTTTCACTTCTCCACTCTTCCTATCCTTTATTGTATTGTTTTGTTTTGTTTTGTCTTGTCTTGTCTTGTCTGACAGAGAGATTAGGCAGATGATTAATGGTAATAGTTTGTCTCCTACTACATGTGCAGCCAGGGAGGTTGACCACCAGTTCTTCCCTTGTACCCATAAATTTAACTCGTTGTTATTATAATAGCGGAAATGGAATAGTGGGTTTCCACTTTCAACTAGGATGGATTTCTTTGAGTGAGTCCGCATGTGACAACCTTGTTTAGTTTTTTGAATTTGTCATCTCATCTATGTGTCTCGATTTAGGGAAAAGGAGACTTCTTGTCTTCATCCTCTGTCTTCTGATTCGCCTAGAATTTTAAATCAGGATAAGAGAAGCCACTATATATATATATATATAGTTTATCTATCGGGAGGAGGATCTTGAATGGACACTTCTTTAATGGAGGTGATTATTGACTTAGATTTAGATTCAGAATTATTATTAATGTTTTGAGTTTAACTTGCCTACTTGAGAGACTACTTAGCTTCAAAATCCATTATACATCTCTTCATTTTCTTTGGTCTAGTCCTACAGTCCCAACCTTAACATTTTCTAGTAAAAAGTAGGATGGAGCACTGTAGAAGTATGCATAAATTTTAAAGCAAAAATTAGACACTATCCAAGGTGCTCACATGGCGTTAAGGAAATAATAACAATAACAATAACAAAAATCCCCCCCGTCCCCCTAAATATACAAGAAAGAATGTTCCAAAAATATTCAAATATCGGCATTTTCACAGGTATAATGGTAGGCAGTATAGTATAAGATTAAAAGCTGACTCCCACTTCCAGAACTCCATTTCATCCCCTTATCCAAACATCAGAATCGTTTCCTTTTGCAACCTCTAAGAAGAATGCTATGACAAATTCCAAATGCCCAAAATATCTCCTACAATTTGGTGAACTTCCTTCTTTCTCCTGTGTAGCTGTGTGTTGTACCATCGGTTCAGCATAATGGTAATCATATATACAATGCAGAACCTCGGCCTGTTTAAAATTCCTAATCCTAATTAAACATGAACCATAATGTTTACTCGCAATTTTACCTGTGGCTAAATCTTCCAAGCCTCCTGGTATCACTCGACTTCTTTAGTATTTTTTTTCCTCTCTGTTTTCCTACCTACTCTCTACTAGTAGTCAATCTTATGTTCTTTTTTCTTCTTTTTCTCGGCTTCTCCAACTTCAATGTAGAAAATTTTAATCTTGATATATTTTTGAGATGAGAATGGAGGATCATGAACGAGGACAGCAGGGAAGAAATGATGCATCCAAACTTATCTTAAAAATGCTCCTTGTGGAAGTCTAACTTGGCCGAGCCACTTTGATTAATCTCATGGCAGAGCTGTCCAAGTTCTTTGGCCAAAACTGGAGCTCCGCAATAGAAGACACCTAGTAGAAAATGTCAAAACCACAACAATATGAGAAGAGGGTACGGTTCCATTAATAGGATTCTATTATGATATAGTTGAAATCAACCCACCTATCCTTGCACCACAGTGCTTGGAACTGATTTTGCTGAGAACTTTCTTCCAGTTAGGCCTGGCAAAATGGGTTCGCACCTGTATTGGATCCAATAAAAACTTTTTTATGAATGTATAATGGACGACACAGTGAGTCAAGAACCAACCTGGCCCCTAAATTTATCAGCCAACATAGGAGTACTTAAATTCCTCACAATTTTTCTCCAAGTTTTGTTGATTGTATATTGGCATAATTTTCAAATTTGTATATCAATCATAAAGGAAATGAAGAAAAGGTATTAGAAACAGTAATGAATGATTATGATTTTACCCTGGTGCCAGACACAACATCCACTCCATTCTTAGCATGACTGAGGGCTTGAACCATGGTAATGAGAGTTGAACGAGCGTCCCCTTCCTCATACACACTAGTCAGATAGTTATGCATCTCAATTAACCCCTATAATTCAAGACAATTGATACTCCCAATTAACAGACATGTCATGAAATCAAATTGCAAGTGTATACTCAATATAAGAACATGAGGACATGAATTACCCTTTGATCCAGCTCCGAGATTTCATTCATTACACCTTTGAACCAATCAAATGAACCTTGCTCTCTAGTTACCCAATAAAAGTAGGCATTAGTGGTCTTCAGACTATTTTTCCTTTTAGGAGCGAGAAAATCTTTGTTCACATAACTGAGGTCGCCCACATTACTGATCTCAGTTGATGAATCCTAAAAGAAACAACATGTAATAAGCATATTTAGTATTGTTCTCGAATTGCAGAGCTATTAGATTTTGACAAATGATTGATCACATTCACAATAGAACCAGAAATTTGAAATTCAAAAAAAAAATTCTCTCGGGTCTAAAACGCAGTTGATTTGCTACCTGCTCCTCCATTTTCACAATGTTATTCAACAAATCCTTCAAAATGCTAATGAAAGGTGTTGCCCCAATGCCTAGGCCAACAAGTAGTAGCACATCATATTTATGGTAGTCCTGTGCTGGGGCACCATATGGGCCATCAATTGAAAGCTTTGGCAAACTGACATGGGCAGAACAAATTTCCAATATTTAAATTTAGGAAATGCAGTATGCTAAAATGAGGTCTAAGACGAAAGGAATATTATAAGGATGATATTAACCTTTTAATGGTAGTTTCGTCAGCTCTTAGAAGGCCACTCTTGCCGGAGACGGAAGGCTCACAAACCTCTGTGAAAATTCTTTTAAGCTCTTGGGTCCAATCACCAAGCTGCCGTACATGGATACTAAGGTAGTCATCTCCAGGAGCCGAGGTAATTGAAAATGGATGCCTGCATGCCAAGTTTACAAAGTATGTAATATATTAAAAACTTATTATAATTCAATCAACTTACAAGGATTTTTTTTTTTTTTTTTATCAAATAGTGATATGGCCATGCAGTTCACAGAGTTGACCCAAAAGTTACCTAAAATCTATTAGTTCAACTGTGGCAGTAACAAGTCCATTGGATTCTGCATCATAGGTTCAAAGTTCGAACTATGATACATGTTATCGTTTTAAATATATGATTTCTTTCTTCCTGTAAACACTCATTTTTTGGAGGTAGGAAAAGATTGATGAAAAGCAATGAAATCTAGAGGTCAGTATGGATGATATGTGTTCGTTTAACTGTTTCAGAAAGGTGACAACTTTCTTGAGGTTATTTTGCATTTATCTTACACAAGGGTAACTGGAAGACTGTTCAAAAGAAAACGTTAGTAAATCTGATCTTTCATTACCATTCAAAGGGAGAGACCGCAGGACACTGAACAAACATGTACTGTCCACTTTTGTATTGAAATTGGGGCGGCTTGAACATTTGTAGTTTGAGAACATTTCCAGGATAAATGGCAACCTAAATGTGTCACAGAGATAGCCGTACATTTCAGAGAGAATTTATAAACCAGAAGTATTTTGGTCTCTAACGTTTGTAGAAAGCTAAAATTTAGTCCCATATTTCATTTCTTAATTCAAACAAACCTTTTGGATTTGAACAGTGTATGATCCGGAGCGGAAGAATCTCAAGATTCTCTCTCCAGCGTACAGCAAAACTGGAAAAGCGACATACATCCATGTCTGAAATCACAAAATTAGTATGTTAATCAGCCTTTTACATTAATGAAGGGGCATTTAGTTGAGAGACGTAGGCAAAAGCAAAAGAAAATCATTAACTGATTACCGTCATAAGATACCATCTGTGCACGAGATAGAGGAACAGACCATGAATGATGAGCAGTATGTAAACAAGAATGAATAAGTGGTGTGAATACCAGAAGGCATTATATCCAGTGAGCCTATCAAAGGGATGGGGTAGCTTAATGAGGTTCCTCCTAAACCATCGCGTTGCAAGTATGAAAGCTATTGCCATGAAGAACACCATTAAGATTCCTGTAACGCCTTCACACCCTTTAACAAGGTCCATATAGCTGGGTTTAATCTTGCCGAAGTCACCAATCAAAAAAGCATATTCAGCTTCAGATGATCTAAGGAGCCTTGGAAAATCACACGCAAGATGGTTTCCAGCATGGAGAATGATTCCAACTATAATGGCCACCGCAATGATCTACACAGGTAAGTTAACCAATTGGGTGAACTGATATCCATGCCTTTAAAACTAAGATGAGAACATCGGGGTCAGCGTGTACCTTGTGAAAATTGATGTTGTCGTCGAAAGGTACATAGTAACCGATTTTGGTTTTCCTTAGCCAAGTAATAGTGTTTCTACAAACTGGCAAAAGAATGAGAGCCATGTTGAACTTCAAGGTCTCAGCTGCACCCTTTGCCGTAGTGAGACAGTATCCCATAATTTTGAAGGCGTTTTTATGTCGATACTGAAAAAATTTCCATGTGAAAAGCCCAACCATGATCAGAATCCAAAGTGTCAAGACCCAAATTCTCCTCCAATTCTCTCGCA